AAACTATTTTAATTGACTTTAAAACTCTGAGCCTCAGATTTCTCAGTGAACCGTAACATGATAAAATCAAAAGTAGTTTTAATCACATTTTTAAAGTAGTAGTTTGAGAGCTATCTAACCACCAAATGTTAAAGTAGAAAACACCCCCAATGTTAATATTATGCTTCTTCAGAGGCTGGCAGAACCTTGGCGGTTCATTCAGTAACTCTAAATAATCCATGAAAAGCAATTAAAAAAGACTGGAAAAAAAGTCTGTCATCAGCAACCTCAAAATTCTCTTTACAAGGGCCATTACCTGAAACTGAAGAACTGCAAGAGTCTACAAACCAAGAAAGGATGAAAAAACCCACACGCTATTATTCATCAGCCGAGAGTAAAAAGAACAAAACAGCCTAAAAAGCAGCCTCTTTGAAGTGACTGAAAAAGGGCTAGAATGAAGAGTCCTCTACAACCTAAATCTTTGCGATCAGCAGTTTTCAGTTACGGAGCCCCCCCTCTGATCACGACAGAGAGACTTCCAACAGTAACTCAAATACTTATAAATTTTAACTGAGAATTTCTAAACATTAGAAACTAAGAAGCTAGTGAATCCAAATGTATGAATGTTCAGAGCTAAAAAAAACTTTACAAAACTAGAACAAAACAGTTTTGAGAAAACAAGCTCTTCTAGTAAGTTGACTAAATAAATCATTATGGAAAAAAACTAGCAAGACCCTTGTTAATGAGGAAGAAGGGGAATGAATCAAGTTTTCAGTATCCTAAAGATTCCTCCTGCACATAATATTAACAACAATAGATGTAGCCTTTTTAGGTAAATAATTTGATCAGCTGGGCTTTATATGTCAGGTACCTTTAAGAGTCGCCTTTGGGTTTTTATTTAAATATTTGATATTTTGCCACCCGGAAATGAATTAGCTAAATAAAATACTTGTCTAGGGGAAACCACAGCAAGTAACCAAAACAACCTGGATTTTATGAAAAAAATCCAAAGTATACAGTCTTATTTATCAGGCAATTCTCTTTTATCATATACCTGTCAAAATACTGAGAACAAGGATGCTCGCACAGTGACACCCAGGATCTTAATTACAAAGATGTTTTTACCTATGCAAATCCAAGTTAGAGAGAAAACCAAAGAACATAGCACATCTCTTTGGATCTACTGACAGACTGGTTTCCACTATTTTTTTCAACTCAGGAATAAGAAAATAAGAAAATTTCCCAATCAAGTATCTTTTCATCCTTTTGAAGGAAGGAAAGAGACTGGACCAGGCTGAAGTCTCTTCTGAGATCCAGGATCCACTTAACATTTGTTTGCCTCCTAGTTACAAAGGGTGTTGTGACCAAGATATTTCTCTAATGCCATCCCTAACTGAATGGCAGCTAAAAATCCTCCAATCATTTTTTGGTAGTATTTATGCCTGCTTAATATTTACGGGATTTTAAAATGTAGTTGCTTAAACTCCTGAAGCACATTCATGAAGCTTGCTTTAATGAGTTACATGATGCAAAATAAACCAAACAAAGAGGTCTTGTTTTGTCAAGTGTAATTGACATCAATCCTTTCTTTGTTAAAAAAAAAAAAATTAAATGTAAAGTCTTTAAGAATTGATAGTTCTGTTCTAGTTTGAGTCTAAAATTTGAGAGGGCACTAAATATGTTACTCTTGCAGTTTCAAAACTGAGGTGTATATCCAAGAAAGAACAACACAACACACCCTTGCTTTTGAAACAGTTCCTTGCCAAGCATGCTCAGATGCAGGAACACAAGTACAGTTAGTATCTGTGTGTGATCCCCCTCAAACTATATGGAAACAAAATGACTGCTGTTGAATACCAGCAGTAGTGCTCTCCTGACTTTTTTTATAGGACTTTTTTTTCAAGAGTACTAGACCCTGTTAATTTTCATGTTCACTGAATTTATCTGAGCAATTACATGTGTAATTCTGACTAGCAAAATTTAAAAAGCAGAATTTATGTTTGAAAAACTCGAGTTGAACAGTTTATACTTTGTCATTTCACTTGCAGAAATCAATCTCAAACTGAAAACCAAATCCAACTGGAAAACACACTTGTTCTATGCAAAGTACCCTGAAATGCAAAATTTACCAGTTCTCTTACTCAGACACCTTCCTATACAGAGTGTTTGTTAGACAAACACCTTCAGAAAAAAGAGAGAGGAGGGGTTTTTTGGGGGGGGGGGTTGGGAGGGGAAATGTACCTCAGAGAAGGGGAGAACACAATTAATATTGTTTCTTTGAGGCTCCCCCAGTCATCTCTACCAGACAGAGCATTATAGTCATGAAAATAGGGTCAAAACTCCACTACAAAGTTTAAAGAAAAACTTTAACACTCTGCAAACGCTATTAGAGCAAACACTCGATTTTTTTAAAGTCATCAAGCTTTATGATAGGCAACTTCAGGCATATTTCCTGGTCATTTCAATCAAAAATTCTCTAACATTTCACACTGATCTGAGAACCACCATTGAGACTGTGTATTACACCAGCATCAGAATAAGCTTGATGCTCTTAACCTAGAACATTTACACAAACTCCTAGAAAAAAGAAGACCTATCATTCTCAACTGCGACAATACAGTTTTGCTCAAAGTTACAAAACAGACAACACCACATTATAGCAATAAAATCTAAAATAATTTCTACTGAAAATAGCATAGGTTTCGCAAGTGCAAGCTCCTTATACAGATTTCATGAACTCTTGAACAGAGCACTATAAATACAAACGTTTCTTAACTGAAAATAACGACTTTTCAGAAACACTGCGAATGCTATTCTTTCTCCTACTGTTTTTTCTAGTCTTAAGAATCTACTCGAGTCTAATTTCATGTCAGCTCCCGATTCTCTGATGCTTATCCGCCACGATACTTGTGCACAGTATTCTTATAACAAATGTGGAGCATTAATAGCGTTTCAGAAAGAAAGAGCAGCTAAGAATTTGCCTGAAAACTACAGTCTTCTCCAACAGTAGCAGTATTACAGCTAGTTCATTATGCTCTATTTTGCTTGAGAGATCTCAGATAAGCATCCTTAAAAACACTACTTGCACTGGTGTACTTCAAGATTTAAAGATCAAGCGACTGAGAAAAGTCAGGAGAGCCAACATACAAATTCTGCCACATACAGAAGAAAGCCTGGGTAACGCAGAGTCACTTAATTCAATTCTGTAAGAGACAAGACAGGAGAATGCCCAGTAAAAGGGACACAGGCTTGGCCCTATAAACGACGTAAGAGGCATAGAAGTCAATTTTACTGCTCTCTGCACCGAAACTTAAAAACAGCAACAATAACAAAAGTACAGACTTCCAAACTGAGCAGACACAGCCTTTGAAAGACCAGAAGCCACGCTGAACGCGCTTTAGTCCGAAGAGATGAAATAAAATAAAACAAAACACAGGAGAAGCGAGCGATTCAGCAACGGGCAGGGTGGAGCAGAAGGCGGGACAATGACCTAATAGGTCTCGTCTATCTTTAGTTTCAGGAGGCTCCGCGGGCAGCCGGCTGCGGGGCGGCGAGGGCGGCCCCCCACG